TGGCTGGCAGGACGGCAGCAGAAAAGGCTTCAGCCGCTGCAGTTTGAGCAAAAAGGAGAGGAAAGTGATACAAAGTCGTAAAGCCATGACCTAACCGGAGACAAAGCTGCGTGTCAGGGCTGAGTCACAAGCTTCAACTCATGTCTTCTGCTTCCTGAAACCTTTTCTAGGTCAGGAAATACCCGGCGAAGAACAAGCTCGGCAGCGGCGGCGTTGGTTATCCGCCGGCCACACAAACCCAAACTCTGTCAGACTCCAACCTTGTGCGTGTCGGAAAGGCAGAGGACAGCGCTGTCGGTGTGATTATCCCCCGCTACCTGAAGAGGTGTTTGTTTGACATTCCCGTCTGACAAGCGGCGGGACATGAAGCGTTCAGGAGAGGAGGGGGGTCCCCTCTGCAGTCAGAACCCATTAACAGGGGCTCGACTTGGGCTACACATGTCCACCGACTGCAGCAGGATGACATTTAAAGGGGAAGATGTCTCAGCTCTCCTTGACTCACTCTTGCCAAAAGGTTAAACAGAACGTCGGAATAACAAGCAGGCCGCTGACCGCTCCCCTCGCTCGGCTGCAGCCTCCGCTTACGAAGGTGCTTGATCAGCGGCGAGATGAAAGCGGGAAGCGAGCGAAATCCGTGCAACCGCAAAACGACCTAATTTTGGGGCCTAATCTCGCCTGGCGATCGGCTGCAATTAAATCGAGATAACACGTCTGAATTTGGGAGCACCGGGGAGAGCCAGACGAGTCCTCGTTAAAGACGGGGAAGAAAGGAGCAAAGAGGAGTCACTTAGGTGGTACAGGAGGCAGGAAACCTCCTGAATAATGAAGCGCAGTTGGAAAGTGAGCGCTGATCAAATAGCATGTTCTATTATGTGGAATTAAAGGTGGGAACGGTGGGCGAGTCGGCCCAGATTTCCACATGTCACCCAGCCTTAATCTGCCGATCCGCCATTGATTCCTCCACGCGGCCCTGACCTTGCCAGGAGAGCTCTTCTGACAATCCGGCGTACATCAAGGAGTGTGTGAATTTCCCTAAATGTGTGTGCATGTGTGTGTGTGTAAAAGAGAGAGAGAGAGAGAGAGAGAGAGAGAGAGAGAGAGAGGGAGAGAACATCAGAGCAAGGAAAAACTGGAGGCTGCTTTCAACACTTGTTTGCACAAAGGTGTCATCTCCGAAAGCAGCTGCCGCGCAGAAACGGAGAAAAATGAGAAAATTATTTTAATGGCCAACACGACACACACACACACACACACCCACACACACACACTTTTACACACAAAAAGCGTTCACACAAGCACGGACCAGCTGTGATGTGTTTGTTCTTTTCATTTAATCTACATTTAGGCTTTTGTTGCTCCATAATCCGGCTTGTTAAAAAGCTGGACCTGACAGGTTGGGATCGATGCTTCGGAGACGAATCAGAGCAGTTCTCCAAACGAAACACAAATACAAGCGCTGGGTTTTGGCGGAACAGCTGCTATCCGAGCGAGCGCACATGTAGCATTGTTGGGAACAAGAAGGTGTTTGTAAAGTTGTTTTTCACCGTCATCAACATTTAATTATGAAATCTGAACGTTAGTTTACACCTGCTCAGCAACCTGTCGCCTGTCGCGCCCAGACTCGAGGAAAGTCGAGGAAAATGTCGGAAAAGAAGAAGAAGAAAAAAAAAACTGGCGAGACGCGGCGGAATAAGTGCAAACAGCAGGACGAGGCCAAATAAAGACTTTACATTTTCACTCCAGAACGACTCAAATGAGGCATTTTTTTAGAAATATATATATATATATATATATATATATATATATATATATATATATATTTTTTTTTTTAAAAATGCATCCTCCTCCTACGCAATGCATAAAACATGCTGGCTTAGGGGGTAGGGAGTGGAGAGAAAAAAAAAACTCTGAATGCATGCAGTTATTTGCCAGACCAGTGAAGTTTCAATTTCTGTGTTTGCTTGTTTTTCTGGGGATAAAACACAAGAGAAGCGAGAAGGCATGAAGAGAGACGAGATGTGGGCCTTTTCTCCGACTCATCCTGCAGAGTCTGGAGTCTCACACAAGTTCAGGAGGAAAACGCCGCCGCCGCGTCGCTCTGCCTCCACACAACCAAAGCAGGGGTTAACATCACGGCTGCCTGGTAAGGCTTTATCCCGAACCGCTCCGAACAAAAGGCCCCTTTTGCAAACAGACTCCTACTTTTTTTTTTTTTCCTCCACCCCACAGTGTCCAAAGGTGTTTGCTGAAGTAAATCTGCCTAAATCCTGCCAGGAGGGGAGGGAAGGTGTTCCAATAATCCCTAAAAAGAAAGTTGTGGGTGAGAAACGGAGTCACATGACGGCTGGGGACGTCTCAATGTCCGTCCAGACAAGACACCTGCTCTCCTTATCTGCTCAATCCAGGATTTCTTTTGATTTTTTCTTTTTCTTTTTTCTCTTTTTCCTGAGTGTCCGTGAATAGTGTGGGCATGCCATCTCGTAACACTATCTGCGTGTCAGGAGGGGCCGGGGGTCCCTGCTGGAGTACGGAGGCTATAAAAGACTCGTAACCAGGGGACGAGCAACAAACAACCACAAACACCCTGGTTATTCCTCTCCAGCACCCACCCACCACTTTCTGCCTCCATTTTTCTCTTCCTCTTCTTCTTCTTCTTCCCTCCTCCCCCTCCTCTTTTCATCTCGGGCCCTTTTCTGATGCTGAATGCAAATGTGTAGCCCTGCTGCTGGCGGCGAGAGGGGCTGAATTGTGATTAAGGAGAAGAAGAAGAAGAAGAAGGAAGAAGGAGAAGAAGAAGAAGAGGAGGCTCCTTTTTTTCTCTCTCTTCTTCTTTGTTCTCCCCCCGGGGGGATGTTTACCAGGAGAGACACGGCGGATCAGATATGAAAGGCATTCAGGTCAGCATTGATGTGAGCGAAAGTGAAATCGTACCTAAGGCATTCCAAAGAGAGCCGCGGTGTCAGGGGGTCCGGGGCCGCCGGTGCCTCCTGCGAGTGTGTGTTCAGAGGCCGGCAGGCACACAAATATCTGCACACAGGCAGGAGGACGGGCAGCCATCACAACGCACCGATGGCAACGAGAAAAATGTGTCAAGAAACGAGAGAAACCAGGTCCGAACCGCCAGCAATCAGCCCCACAGTCCGCTCCGCTCTGAACAGCACAAACACACAGAGCGATTCTGAAACCTGAACCCTCACGTTTTTACCCGTCACAGGATAAAACCTCCCTGAATGTGACTTCTCTACAACAAGTCTCATGTCTTCCTCAGAGTAAATAATCCCAGATTTCCTTCCACAGGAATCCAGCAGCTTCCTGCTGGGGTGCAGCCCCGTGTGGGAATGGCAGCCCGGACAACCCCCCGCCACCATCGACGGCATAAACATGTAAATGAAACACATTACCGCTGACAATCAATTGTCCACGAGCGCCCTGCGAAACGCAGCCCTCCTCCTCCTTCTCCTGCTATTTTCTCCTCTTTTCCTCCCTGCGTGATGGAGGCAGGAGTTTAAAGGGAAGGTGCAAACTTTTTTAAAAAAGCGACGGGTTTCTAAATATTCCTGCAGATTCCCGCTGCTTCGGGTTATGTAATCGGTGAGCGTTCCCAACGCTCCGGAGTCACGGGAGAAACACACCAACGCAGATATTCTGTCATTTTCCTCCTTAAATGTTGCTGTTTGATGCTCGTGCTGCTCGAGCGAGAAAAAAAAAAAAACAATCCCAGGTGTGTGTGTGTGTGTGTGTGTGTGAGTGTGTGTGTGTGTTCCCGTTGGCCGCTCACAGCTGGATGTGACAGGCAACACCTGGCGGGGGCCAAACTCTCAAACAACTTCACGCTGCTCGGATCAAGTTTCGCACCAGGAAAAGGCGAAGAGCCTCTTCTTCTTCCTCTTTTTCGTCTTTTTGTTTTCGAGCAACAAAACAAGAGTTTGAACGTGTGGCGAGGTTTGGAGAAATCAAATAATCTGGGATGTTCAGCACCGGACTGGACGGTTTATTTGACTCAAATGATCTGAGAGGGATTTGGTGAAATTAGGCGATTTGGTTTGTGGATTTCAGATTAGAAATGAAGCAGCGAGGGGCTCAGCCGTCCCTCCATCCAGGCAGGAAGAGAGGGGGGACAGGAGAGAGGGGCCAAGCCTCAGTGAGCTGCTGCATTCCCAAAAGGGGGGAAGAAGGAGGAGGACAAAACTGCTTTCTTTTTTTTTTTTTTTTAAAGAAATCCTTGGATTAAAAAAACTCCTGACACACTGAGCCGCATCTCTACAGCTTCTTCAGTTTGGGAATTTTAAAATTTGCATTTCAATAATAATTATAATGAGCAAGAAAGAAAGAAAGAAAGAAAGAAAGAAAGAAAGAAAGAAAGAAAGAAAGAAAGAAAGAAAGAAAGAAAGAAAGAAAGAAAGAAAGAAAGAAGGTGATCAAGCCTTTAAATCCAGCACATAAATATATGAATAAATCCAATAAATCAGCTGTGGAGCAAAATGCTTCTCTGCTATTGATTGTTTGAAATCAATAGATGAAATCTGATCTGGATAAATAACCAGTGCGGGCAGGAATTCAATTAAATAAAATAATAATACTAATAATAATAATAAATTGTGGGACGATGAGGGGGAACGGGACTGGGAATGTCAGCGTTTATTCCTGCACATTTCAAACGGAAAAACGCTTAAAAATGTGGAAAATAAAAACTACAATATTAATTAAAATAAAGTAACGCTTTATGGATTATTAAAACTCTAACACAATTTCGGAAAGAAAAAAAAAGTAATAAAATGTCACTTTTCTAATTCTTTTTATTTTTCATGCTCCAGACAGCAGCGGGACAGCAGCCCGGATAACGGAGCCCTTCATGGGAACCTCCAGCAGCCCGCAGCGGACTCCCGCTCCACCCGGAGCCGCCGCGGACGCCTCCAACCCCGGCCACAACATCCACAGCTCCGGCTCCCCTCCACCCCACACCCCACGGACAACACACGCTCTCCCCGGGATCTCCTTACCGTTTTTCCGCCTCGGATTGGCTTGTTTTCGCCTCTTACACCTGGGGCCATCCGCCATGATCTCCTGCTTCATTGATAGGTGTGTGCGTGTGTGTGTGTGTGTGTGTGTGTGTGTGTGTGGAAAGTGGTGGAGGAGGTAGGGGGGATCAGATGGCAGCTCGCATGGACTCGATCCCTTGATTTTTCTGCGTGATATCTGCAGGGAAACAACAGAGACACGGAGCGTCAGAAGGGACATTTCTGGGGAAAATTGAAAAACGGAAATCTCCACTTTCATCCAACTTTACTTTTTTATAACCAGGAAATTTAATCAAATAATATTAATAATAATAACCTACAGCCCTCTTCATTCTTAGATTTTTATTTTATTTTATTTTAAAAAGTAACACAAACCTGGGAAAATACAAATAAAGTGAATTCAAACTTCTGCTGGTAATTAAAACACCGGGAGTAAATGTTCAAACAAGACAAAAATACAGAAATAAAGACGCTAAAAAACCGGACCTGAGCCTCGGCGCGCTCACAATTAACGCGAAAACAGCAGAAATGAGACCAAACTGAGAGGAAAAACGCTGCTTTATGTCAGGTCCAAATGTCCCGACCTCGAACCCGGATCGGAACACAATAAAGCTAAAAGAAAAAACCCAACTAATTTTAGTTCTGATCCAAACTTTCTTTTTAACACCAAATCTGAGCCGCTGGTTTCTGGATTTCGCGCTGGGCGTCTTTGGACATTTTCGACGTTTGTTCCAATCAAAGCAATAAAACAGAAATAAAAGCTCAGTGGGATTTCTGTCGGCTCGGTTCGCCCGGATATTCACACATGATGCTGGTTCCGATGAGAACGCGAGGCTGGAAGAAACGGGGTCGAGAGCGGCTCCGTGTCCGGAGAGAGAGCTCGCTTCCCCGGACTGTCAGATCCGAGCCGGGACGCCTCCTCTTCATCCTCCTCTTCATCCTCTTCCTTTGTTGGAATAAATAAGGAAAGGTGAACCAGCAGCGCACCTTCCCTTCCTTCCACCTGCGCAGGTAAGCCGAAGTTCAGCTCCAAGTTTTACGCGGACGCGCGCAAAGTTCAAATCCAAAGAAAATCTGGGGGAAAAAAACTGGAATAAAACTAAAAAAAAAAAAAAAAAAAAAAAAAAAAAAAAAGGCGACCCTCCCTCTTTTTTTTTTTTTTTTTTTTTTAAAATGGG